TTTTTTAATTTTTTTGTGAAATTGTTATTAAATTATTTTTTATTATTAATATTTTGTTAGATTAAGCACTTTATTACAAATTATTATCTTTCGTTCAAAATAAAATTTATTGTGTCTGATCTTTAAATGACTTTTATTCAAAAAAATTGTCAAAAAAATTGCCAATGACGTCACTGACAAAAATGGGAAGTGGGGAAACGAATTATTTTTAAAAATATGCGCTTTTAATAAACCTGTCCGAGCATTTTTTCGAAAAACCAACTACTTCCATTATAATGAATTTATTCCTTTCATTTGAATCATACTGTATAAATATTATCTTAAGTATTGTGGAAATTTCACACAGTTAAAGACTGTTTTTAACATTTATGTTTTTTGTTTTTTAAAAAGTAAAATCAAAGTAATGAGAGTTTAATTTATATCAAAAAACTGTTATCCAATCAACTATTGCTTACACGTAATATTCTGAGAGATATTATTTCAGTCTATATAACCGGTTTCACAAGTAATATAAATCAACTTATTTTTAATTAGGAATCCTTTTAATTATTGCTATTCAAAAACCGCTAGGATATTCAGCGTTTCACATATAAATTACAATTATAGATAATCAGTAAATTCAGATGTTTTATTAAATACTTCAAAGGATTAATTATTAATTATTTTTATTTTAAATTCTAATTTCTGGTTGTTGTAAAAGAATTAATTTGTATAAATAGTTAATTTCGGCATCTTTGCAACAACAAATTCATCAACAACGTTTTTAACTTTTTCTGCGCATAATTATAAGATAAGAAGAAAATTTTCTCATTAAACTTTGAGAGGCATTGTACTCATAAAACGTTTTACTTAAATGTTTTATGTTTTTCTTGCTAGTAAGTAATTTTACTTTTACATTTACAATTTTAATTTTTAATTGCAAAAAAGTTAAATTATAGAAACAGCAAACAAGTAATACTGAATATTAATATGTAATTAATAAATTAATTCCTCATCTAAAATTAATAGACGGTGAAAAAAAACCTTAATTTTATCATTATTTGTCAATATTACAAAATACCGATAATGCTCCAAGTTAAGCGTTTTGTATTGTTGCATTTTTTATCTTACAAATCTAAGTCACAAAGATCGTTAAAACAATTATTAATATTAATAGCAGCTGTAAGAATGTATTTTATACATTTTCAAGTTGGTTGATTTCTTTAAAAACGGTAAATGGGAGATGAAAATTTAATTTATTTGATTTGAGTATCGGTTCAAGTCCCAATATAAATATGGCAAAAATTAAAACAAAGCTTTGAGGAAAACCAAATTTGAGAGTGTAGAGTAATAATGTTGGAACTCGTACTTTGAAATTAAAGGTTTCGTACAAATGTAGAATCATTAAACACAGGGGCGGTTTCTCCGTTGGTTCATTTGTGCAGTGAACACCCAGTTAAATTTCATAAAAACACATTATTTTAAAATTACATAAATAACATAAAATATAAATTTAATTTTAATATTTATATTTTCATACGTATTAATTTATATTTTTTGGTACATCATTGTCCTCTGGCTGATGACATCTCTCTGGCACAGTATACCCAAGTATACTGTGTCTGTGGCGTATTATAATGAGTGAGCCTAACAAGAGTGAGACGATATGGTGAATGCATATAGCTAAAAAGAGAAGAAAACACGCCAACAGATTCTTCAAACCGTCAAACATTAATTGGCGCGCCGCTAACAAACAAGGTTGCCAAACCAGTGTTGCCAGTCTAGTACAATTCACAATTGTACTAGATGTAGTATATTCTGCGTGTTCACGTGTAAAATATATATATTGTGTTCCTTGTTTAGGTTCGTTATTAATAAAGACCCCCTTTTTTCCCATCAATGAATTAGATGTCACTGCAAATAGAATTCGAAAAATCTGATACATTTAAGGAATCTGGTACATTTTTTAGACAAATCTGGTACATAACAAGAACATATTCTGGCAACACTGTATGAAATAAAAAAACTGTCGTTTCGTTTTCCGTCATTATGAGACGGTTTTAATAAAATGAAGATTATTTTATTATTTATGATCTTTAAAAAATGTGTTTAATTGAGAACTGTGACTTTAGTAAATTGGAATTTAACGATTGTTCCCAAAAAAGGCAAGGTAAATAAAAACTTTTTAAGGTTATGTTGTTTACATATAATAAAGTTTTACGACTGTAATTTGTTTTATATTATTTTGTTTCAGTGAGTAATTCAAAATGGTCTATTTTGTACCCAATTGTAAATACTATGAAGTAAGAAGTAAGCAAAAAATAAAAAAAATTCCTACAAAACGCACAAAAAGGAAAAATTTTATTATTCTGATAAGGTAACTACTTGACATCATTATGGAAATGGAAATGTACAATAAAAATTTGATAAAGATAAAGAGACAATTAGTTTTTTACTTTAAAAGTCTGAATCCGAAAAATGTATTAACCCGTTAATTTAATATACTCAATGAGAAATTGTACCTAAGAAATAGTATGTACATTTTAATAGTTTACCTATATAAAGTTAGTTTGCCTGTAATTATCAATCGTGTTACCCACTAACCAAGATCGTTTGTTGAATACAAATCAGAAATCTTTTATTTTAATGAAAATTTTTTATTGCCTTGTTTGTATAATTTAGTATTTTTTAAAATATTAGATAATATGGTAATTTGAATCACTACAAGTATTAAATAAAAATAAGCCTATTGGTAAATTAGTTTACAGTTGGTAACAAAGAATCTCTCGAAAAAAGTCTCGAAATAAGTATTAAATCTAAATTATGATTATGATTTTGATTAGTTACTTAACAAGTCACATCCCACACATCTACATGCTCTGGCTAATCAGTCCTATAAGTACATATGAAAACATTAATATACTATCTACAATTAAACAATAATTTGAAAATACAGTTGAAACCGATTTACCTATTTAAACAAAATTACTATTATTCTATTATTTATTAAAACACATTATTTTTTTAGTAAACTGGGACATGAAAAAGCAGTGAGGACATTAGTGAAAGCAAGAATACTTTGGAATGTGCTGTAAAATACACTTAGAAAGGGTCAAATGGAGAATTAAATGTGATAACATTTTACGATATGTATCTCAATGTTCAATTATGTGCTGCTATTTCAAACTTTTAGTATACTTTGATAAAAGGAGTTGAATATTATTGTTGACCTTTTTAAATTATTTTTTTTTCTACTCTTCATACAGTATTTTGTGAAGAGTTTTATAGGTTTACTTTGTCTGTCTGTCCGATGTCACGTTTTTTGTCTGCACGAAGTTAAAAACGAGAAATTTTGAAAATTTTAAGCAAAAATCAAGCTCTATAAGGGGACAAAGCCTATTGATTTTTCACAAATCTGATTAAAAATAGGGGATTAAGATGAGTTGAAATTAAAAAAAATCCTAAATTAAAAACGAAAAGCGATATCAACATGAAATTTTTGATTGCAATGAAGCTTTGTAAGAAGATAAAGCCTATTGATCCTGAAAAAAATATGAATATATTGGGGAGTTAAGGGAGGTTAAAATATAAAAAAAAACCCTAACTGAAAAACGAAAAATGATATAAACTTAAAATTTTTAGCAAACACCAATCTCTAAAAGGAGAAGAATCCCTTTAATTATAAAAAAAAACTGATTAAATATGAGGGATTTAAATGGGGTTGAAATTAAAAAAAAAATCAAAAATGAAAAGCGATATCGACATGAAATTTTTAATAAAAATCAAGTTGAGGCTTATTGATTGTGAAAACAATCTGTTTGAAAATGAGGGTTAAGGGGGTTCTGTTAAACTGCGAAGAGTATCATTTATATATCTTTATTCTAGTTTGTGTCTGTGTAATATTATTTATTGTGATGGGACTGATCTTATAAAATAAACATTTAAAACATTTTAGTTCTTATTTTATTTGCCAATAAAAGGTATTTAAAAAATATATTTTTTATTTGACATCTGTGACAAATGTGAAAATGACTAAACTTACAATAAAAATTAAAAAGTGGTAGGTAACGTTTCATATAAATCTTTTTACACAAAAATCAATGTCAAGCTTTCTACATAACCTGATATATATTTAAAAATAATCTCAAATTGTGAAGAAAAGTCAGTTTACTAACTAATAATGTTTATAGATGATTTTCAACATATTAAAAACAAAACACTAACTAAAATATTCATTTATTAATAGTTGTAGTGCTTGAAAACAGTATGATATTGATAACAATAACTACACTTAATACAAACTCAAATATTAAGAAAAAACAGCGATACTGACTATTGTACAAAGTTTTGATCCGAACTTACAAATAATAACATTATTGGAAAAAGTGAACACACATTTTAAATTACCACTGATTAAACAAATATATTTTTAGTAGCTAATTTATTGTCTTTAATCATAAATTTCTAAAAAAATACTAAGCGGGAAGCATGGAAGTATATACAGGATGATTTATAATTGTCGAGTATATTATCCAAAAATAAGTACAAGTGCATACTAATCACTATGAAATGAACTTTACACAACTATATGAAAAATTTGGTAAATATTTTTCTATTAAATTCACATCTCTTTCTGTCATATTTTTTTACAAATAATTATTTTCTAGTTTAAAATTATGAATGTAAATTTATTTAATTTTCAGTAGGAAGATCTTTTAGCAAAAATTACGAATGCTCTTTACTTTCAAAAATTTTGTATTATTAACAAATACGTGTCTTGAAAAATATATTTTTATTATCCCTTCATTGACCATTTCCTAGAGGTTATAGTTTACTTAATAAAATTGTTTGTGTTTAACAAACAAACTTTATCCATTTTTAGAAATACTTCTAAAGCTTTTTTTTTAATTTTAAACATAAAAATATGTTCGCATTTATAAAGTAATTTCAATATATTTAATAAGATAAATTAATACTGTTATTGTGAGAATTTCAAACAGAGTGAATTCTGAAAAACATACCTGCTAAAAAACATCCGCTACGCCCACAAAGGATGCGGCATCGTCGTTCGGTTGTCACGTGGCAAACTTGAGGAATGTTGCAGGAACGGCGGCAATTTCCCGGGAGGTGGAGGAGGTGGTAAAGCCGGACTCCTGTCTCTGCTATCTAAATGTGTGGGCGTCGCCGTGGCATAGATATTCACCGAAGATCTTTGGTGGATGCATGGCCTTCGAATATCTGGCATAGAAAATTGCAACTTTTGCCAAAACTGCCTATCCCCCCACTCGATAACCGTATTAGTCTTCAAATATAGTCTTAAATCGGGATCTAAGTCTCTCTGAGGCAACTCCCCGGTCACTATGAAGATAAGTCTCCTTCTGCGGTCTTTTAGAACCTCGTGTAGCGCACTTTTAAATTCGAATCTACACCACTCGTTATGAATAAAGTTCTTTGATAAAACTATTATAGTCCTACGCGATGATTCTACTGCCTCGATTATAGTATCAGCTACGTACGCTGATACATTGAAGTCTCTGTAGTGCAAACATAGTCTGTAACCAGGATCTCCCGACTCGAGTCCTGGTGCTAATACTTGACTAACGAAGGCTTCGTCCTTAACACTATAGCTTACGTACGCGTCGAAAAGTCTGTCTTTATCCTGTTGTTCTTCGAAAGCCGTAGTTTTATAACACATTCTAAGTCCGCACCTTGAATATACCCACACTCTTAGTTCTCGTCTGTAGTAAAACGCCCCGCATACTATAACAACACTTGCTATGAAAATGCACATAGTTACTAATAATAAAGGTAAATAATCGTTCATAGCCTGTGTCTCAACTACAGCCCTGTTACTTCCCGAAAAAACATTTACGCAGGACGTCCCGTTAAAATCCGAAATATTAGGTCCCAAAGCTTTAGTCACGTTATTGTACATACACATTATTTTTGTGGCATCCTCGACTTTTCCGTAGTTGACCTGCAGCCACGTTTTAAATTTAGAAATGTAAGCACAATCACAAGACCATTGGTTGTAAGCTAAGCCAATTTCTACTAAATACGGATTTAGCGTGAACTGCCAAACTTCAAAGGAGTATAAACGATTTCCGTCTAATCTTAATACCTCCAATTGCTTTAAAGGCAAGAACGTTCTATTATCTATGTAATGAATTAAATTACCTTGTAGATACAGTTCCTTTAAGTACTCCAAACTTTCTAATTCGAATCCCAATAACTGTTTTATGTGATTATTCTCCAAATGTAATATTGTTAATCTTTTTAAACCGCTGAACGTATGGTTATAGATTGCGGCGATATTAGAATTATTAGCATATAAAACTTTTAAATTTTTTCTTCCGATAAAAGCATGACTGGATAATTCGCCGAAATTATTGCCGTCTAAGTAAACTTCAGTGGCGTCCATTGGGATTCTACTGGGCATTTCTGTATAACCAACATTGGAACATTCTACGACGTTTGCAGACCACGATTGATCATGATAACAAGTACAATTTGTGGGACATGTCATTTCACAATCACATGCGTCAAAATCGCAACAGTGACACAAAGCGAAACAGTGCGTTTTATAAGTACATAAAAATTGTGATGATTCCGCTTCTATTAAGGGTAAATAATTAGTTTCTCTGTTATATAAAAGCTTGCAATAAATAGATTCCAAATCCATTACCCTAGGATGTTGTCTTAAGTGATCTAGTTTGTTTATACGTTGTAGCCACTCCATCGTGCAATCGCACTGAAAAGGGTTGCCGCCGATATAAAATTCTGGCAAGGGTTTTTCGGGATCGACCGGGGTTAACCTTAAGGCGTTTAAATCCATGCTTACTATCTGATTTGCATATAAATCTACCCTTGTCAGGTTAGTTTTCTTTAAAAACGTGTGAGGTTCTACTGTATTAATTAAATTGTCGTTTAAAAATAGCAGTTCGATATTAGACGGCACTGCAGCTGCATTTATACGAGTTAATTTATTAAAACTTGCGTCTAAAGTTTGTAATTTTAAATCAAAATCTAAATTGTAATGGTTTCCTAGTTCTCTTACGTTATTTTTGTGCATATCAAGCCACTGCAATCCGTGTGGAATCAAGGCATAATCGAACCACTCAATTTGATTATCAGATACGTTTAGCCACAACAAACTAGGAATTTCCGCGAACAAACCGCTAACATCAGTCAATTGATTGGCATCTAATCTGATAGCTTGAAGATTAGGGCTGTATTGAAAAGAACCTTTTTCTACTTTTTGGATTTTATTTCTAGCCAAATTTAAAATCTGTAACGCTGGTAAATCTGAGAACATTCTATTGCTTATATTGGTTATTTTATTTCCAATTAGTCTGAGCCCATAAAGATTGCTCATACCTCTAAATCCGGGATCTTCGAGTGAATCAATAACATTTTCGCCTAGATCAACTGTTCGCATAAGTCTCATATCTTTCAAAGCTAACGGTACAGATTTTAATAAATTCCCATTTAAATTCAGGTCTTGTAAACTCGAACAATTTCTAAAAGCTTCGGGATGGATTCCTTCAAGTAAATTATTATCTAGAGCTAGTAAGGATAATACATAGAGACCGTTTAAAGAGAAAGCATCGAGATACGTGATTTTATTATAAGAAAGGATCAACGTATGCAAGTTATTCATCGGAGCAAAAGTATCTGCGGGAATAGTTTCGAGTGAATTGTGCTCTAAATTTAGAATTTGTAGAGTATATAGATCTCTGAAAAAAGTTGGATCGAGTTTGCTGATACGGTTATAGGATAAATTTAGGAGAACTAAGCGTATTAGTCCTGAAAATGTATCTGCATTTATCCAGGAACTTGTCAATAGATTTCTTGATAAATCAAGAGCTAATAGCTGCTCTAAATTAGCAAATAATCCCGGGGCTAAGACACTTATAGAATTATTTTGCAAATAAATTTCTTTAATCGAACCTACGCTGTCTTTGAAAAGTTCTGATGGTAGAGCGACAACCTTGTTGTTAGATAAATCGAAAATTTGTAACGATTTTAACCCAGCTAAGGCTTTATCAGCCACCATTGAAATTTCATTATTATGAATATACAATTCACGTAGTCTACGTAACACACTAAAACCACTAGCTGGTATTAAAACAAAGTGGTTAAAGGATGAATCTAGTACCTGAATATCTAAGTTACATGGATTCGTTAGTGTCCTAGTCGTTTCGGTGTGTTGAGGATGGTCATCTTCAGCTACACTAATCAAGGGTTGTGGTAATCCTGGAGCTTTTTCACGAAAACCGAGGTCACTTACGTCTTGTAAACGATTTTCACTCACGTTTAAGTGCACTAGATTGATAAGAGGGCAAAAAATGTTTTCTGGAAAAGACCAAATATTATTACAGCTCAAATCCAGCCGTTCGAGCTGTCTTACAGGAAGAAAACTGTCTCTAGCAAAGTCCAAGTTCATAGCGGGCCAATCAGTGTTGTGAGTTTTAATTGTTAAATTTCTTAAATCACGTAATCCAAGCAAAGTTCCTGAAGGCCATCTTCCGAGTTTACAATGTTCCAATTCCAGTGCTCGTAGTTTTATTAGATGTATGAAACTCTTGTCATCCAAACTGCTCCTTGACATAATATCACCATTACATTCAATCCTAAGGGATGTAGTATGTTCTGATGGTATAACACTGAAATTGGTGGTGTCAAACTCACTGTTGATAGTTCTCAGGTTGCACGTCAAAGAAACTTCATCCTGCCCTCCAGCCACTGCGGGTTCTCGGATCCACCATTGGCAATCATCAGGGGCTTCGTAACGAAGTGGTTGTGAAGAGGAATCAGTAGCAAAATATTCGCTTGAAGTTAGCGAGATTGTGAGTAGTAAAGGAAGGAAATAGAGGTAAGAAGCCATTTTAATTTTGGTCACAATTGCATTCTAAAATCCACCAAACTATGGCGACAAAATCGGAAAAACTATATTTTTAAATACCTCGCGATTTTAACATTTACTGCACCAAACTGTGGTGATTACGAACATTTAAACTTCCGCACTGCACAACTTTTTTTAATTTTAAAATTCATATAATAATTTCTTGTGATATATTTATGTTATCGAGTACGACCGGTGAATTTAAGACCGGAGCACGACCGTCTCTACCGAAGTATGGCCAAAGACTGATTTTGGATGCTGGTAGTTTCAGCGCCCTAACGTGAAAGAAGAGCTTGCGACTTCACGAGCTTTCGCTGTTACGAGAGCACACGATGCGGTGCGGAAGTGGGCGATTGGTCTATGCGCCCCGCCTTGTGTGTAGTTTTAAAGAGAAGCGCCAGTCGGGAAAGAACTGTTGAATGCTTACCGTGGCGGGAAGATATAATAATGGTGATGTCGTCGATGACGATTTCAAAGGAAAATGATCTTCGTTTAAAATAATTATATTTTTTAAATATTACTTATTTAAAATATCAATCAATATAATAATGGTCATGTGTTTGATAACGATTCTGAAAGAAAATGATCTTCGTTTAAAATATATCTTTATTTTTAATAATACTTGTCTGAAATACAAATCGATAAGCAATTATCAATGAAAATATTTATATGTTTATCGAAGCATACAAGTATTTTTTTTTCAAGTATTATGATGATTAATGTTTTATTAAAGAAATCAAAAGAAACAAAGCAATTTAAAAATTAGATTCTTTATGCGAGACAAAGTTATTTGTTGTCAGTATATCGAATTAGTATACACGCAAGAATACAATAATTACAATGTTTTTAAATACATAACAATTTTCTGATCATAGTAGACATTTTATTAACAAATAAAACGTCTTTCATATGATTGATCGATTATATTTTTATTCATTCAGTATTAGATATGTTTCGGAATATAATTTCATCTTCTGGTGCAGTCATAGTTTGTTAATATTAAAAAAAAAATATACAGGGTGTCCCGAAATTAGACGGTCATATTTTAACAGCGTAATCTACATCCTAAAATAGGAATAAAAGTTTATATAAACATAGGTCCGAAAATGTTTCGTTTTCGAGATACAGGGTGTTACAAGTGAAGTCCTGATGGCACATTTTTGTAAATATTTTCTAAAATTTCTTTAGTTACCGGTTTTCTAAAATAAAAAAAAAATCGAATTTCTGATTTCACAGGCCTACTAATTGGTGTTTACACTTTCGAATAACTTATCATGAAATTTTCAAATGCTTTTTTCTTGAAAATGGTGCGTCCTAGCGAGATGTAACAATTGTAGCTTTATTATAAAGAAAACATTGGTTTTCCAAATTTTATAGTCAAAAATGTTAAAAACTGTCAACAAAAAAAAACTTACCTAAGTCCCCCTAATTTACCCACCTATGAAGATGATCAAAAACAGGGGTTTAGTCCATTAAATAGATCGTAAAAAGGTAAGCATTTGTACCAAACTTCACTTAGTTGTCTTCAAACGTTTAGAAAATATTTAAAAAAGAGTGTCATCAGGACTTTTAACACCCTGTATTTTGGAAAAAAAAAACGTTTTCGGACCTATGTTTATATAAACTTTTACTCCTATTTTAGGATGTAGATTATGCCGTTAAAATATGACCGTCTAATTTCGGGACACCCTGTATTTAGGAACATAACAAATAATTTAAAATTTTTATGGATGACATCCATTTTTTTGTTTCTGATAGTGTGTATGTATTCCAAGTATTAATATTTGGTTTGACAAGGTTATTAGAAAAACAAAAAAAAGAGTTCTTACAGAATTAAAACTTACTTATCTGTGACATTACAGTAATAATTAAATAGCTTACAAATAAATGATAAAATAAACAAATAAATAAAACAATCATTTAGGTATACAAGTTTTATTATTTACAGAGTTTATATATATATTTTTAATATATATATATAACTTCAAGGATTGTTCTTTTATAATGGTAAAGCTCCTTTCTGAGTATTCTTATATTTTAAAAATTGAAAGAGTGCAAATTTTCTAAAGTATGTTTTGATAATGCAGTAGATTTTTCATTATTTATTGAATTATTATTTTCTTTGGTTTATGAGACTATTTTAGATAAGTCTTCTGAAAGTTCTTTTATGTCAATAAAATGTAATTATTATGAATGTTATTACTAGTGTTGTTATTAGTATTATTATAGGTGCTGTTATTATAGAATTGTTATTATGTTTATTTGATTAATTCTCTTTTTTGATAAGTTGATTTTAAAATTACATCGGGTGGTTGTTATATTCTAGTACCCTGTTTAATTTTTATAAATTTTGAGTATGGTATAATTAATTGGACAATTTAATTGCTCTACCAGTAAGACTGAAAACAACACTTGTTTATGTGCAATTGATACATTTGTTTTAATATTTAAATATTTTCCCGACCAGATTTGTTTGGCAAACCAGTTTGCATTTATTACGTTCTATTATTATTTACTAATTATTCTATGTTAAGAAATTTTTTTTATTATTTTATTATTTAGTAATTAAAATGTTTTTAGTTCATAAATCCATAAATCGGGTAGGACATAGGTAAACATAAAAAAACTACATTCTCAATAAGCACACACTCATTTTTTCAACGTAAATATAACGTTGTACGGTATAAAAAAACGTTATTGGTGAAAATTCAACGTTTAAATGTGAGTTGAAAAATTATACATATAAAAAATACTACTTTCTAATGTGTTTTTTTATCTACTTTTACCTGAATGTTAAAGATTTAACATAATAATTTTTTTTTATAATGTCATTTTCTTGTTTATAATTAACGTTTTTTATTTCGCTTAATACTATATTTAAACCTATAGTTGATTTTTTTGCAACGAATACGTAACCTAACAACATTATTATAAGTTAAATAAAAATCGTATTGAAAACGTTGATGTATCAAACATTTTATCTTTTGATTAATTTTTTAAAATAAAAATATACGTTATTTCAATATTAATTAATTAACTATATTTTAATATTAATTTTAAACGTTTTTATGTAACTAAAAGTTAATAGTTTTGTTAAATACACGTATATTATTAACGTTAGTTTAAATTAAATACATATCTATATAGAAAAGGTTTGGTTAATAATGTAAATCAAATATCTACGTTATTTAAATATTATTTATTTAAGTATATTTTAATATCATTTTAAAACGTTATGTAATTGTGGTTCTACCGAGAGTTGAATATTTTGTTTAATATACGTTAAATAGTAATGTTAGTTTAACTTACATAAAAGTTGTAATCGGAAAATTAGAACGTTTGGTTTATATTTTTAACTAAAAATAAACGTTATTTTAATATTAGTTAAATAACTATATTTTAATATTTTTTAACGTTGTCGTACAACGGAAAGTTATAAAATTTTGTTAAATATACATATAATATTAAATCATAGCTTACACTGTGAACCTCGTATAATCATCGATTATAATTAATCTTAATTTTAAAAATGACATTATTTGTACTTTAAATATAACCAGTTAAAAATTAAACTCCTGTTATTTTTGTTTTGCATTTGTAGTTCTACCGAAAAGTAAAATTTTTGTTAAATATAGGTGTAATATTATCAAGTTTAAGTCGTAATAAAAATGTTATTGTTTTAACCCTAGAGCGGTATCGTACGTAAAATTTACGCAACTACGTACTCCGTAAAATGTACCAAAACAGTGTGGGAAATAACAAATAAAAGTAGGGGGGTGGGTTGGCTCAGTGGTTAGAGTCATGACTTTGAGATCGGAAGGTCTCAGGTTCGAATCCCATAGTTGGCCGGGATTTTTTCATTTAATTTAATTATTTAAAATTAATTCTGATGCCTTGGTAGGATTCCCCACCCGACCATTCACTGTTAGGTTCTAATCAACAGTGCTGTTCCTAAAGTGGCGCTGGGAAACAGTAACAAAGCCTACACAGAACACGAGGCGAAATAACCTTAGCAGTTGAAGCTGATGACACAAAATAAAATAAATAAAACTATGCACGTGTAAAAAATCAAATAAAAAATGTTCTCTTTATTTTTAAATTCAGTTACTGTAAGTTTTTCATTTTAAAATATTGTTTTGTTATAAAAATATGTAAAAAACTCTATATTAGGTTCCGATAAAAAAAAAACTAATGGAACAGGTAATTTTACAAAGTGTACATGTAAAAATTTGCGAATGCTTAAATTGTACGTGTCCCTACGAACAAGCGGTAGAAATTAAACGATACCGTTCTAGGGTTAATGTTTATTATTTATCTATGATATTATTATTTTTAAACGTTGTAATATAACTAAAAGTTGATAATTTTGTTAAATATACATATATTATCAACGTTAGTTTAAATTAAATGCAAGTCTTAGAAAACGTTACTCAATTCCAACTTTTTAACATTTGGTTAATAACGGAAACTAAATATCTACGTTGTTTCAATATGAATTACTTAAGTTCAATATTAATTACTTAAGTTTGAACCATGTAACATTTGGTTAATAACGGAAACTAAATATCTACGTTGTTTCAATTATAATTACTTCAGTATATTTTAATATTGTTTTTAAATTTGTTACGTAACTAAAAGCCAACAGTTTTGATAAATATACGTATAATATTAACGTTAATTTAAAATAAATATAAGTCGTATATAAAACGTTATTGTATTAAAACCTTTTGACGTTCTATGAGAGGGCGCACCGAAAAACAGACTGTCTTAAGTCGTAAGCGCTACGAATGATATAATGAAACTTTATGGATAGTAGTTTAATCAAGACAAAAGAAACATATTCATATTTATATATTTGCTCTAGTCTATACTGTTTGAATATTATATTGAACTTATTTATTATAAATTACTTTGAGTTTAGATCGAAGTTTAAACAAAGAGTTGTTTTACAACGTTTAGTTATTGCATAATAATAAAGTTTAATTGTTGTTTAAAAAGATACGTGTAATTAATACGTAATAAAAGATTATTTGATTGGCATATAAACGTTTATTAAATCACTTGAAAAAACGTAATATGGTAACGTTAAGAAAACGGGAAAATAAAACCGTTGCAATATTACTTATAATTATAATACATTTTCTTATTCAAAACCAACCGATATTTCTTCTTTTTTGTGTTAGAAATTATGTAAAATTCAATTAGATTCTAATATTATCTTAATAGTAACATAAACCGTTACAAACATACGTTATTTTTAAATGCAGTTTGTGGTT